TGAATTGCGCGAATCGCAAAGTCTGACACTGGCCTAACACCCTGATTCCTGAACCGCCCATCGCCCCTCGCTTTTGAGGGCCCACCTGCCTAGTGGCTAACGATAAGTATATTTCCTTTTTCAATTTCCGATCTTATTGTGCAAGCCATCTGTAAGCACTGCAGCAGAACTTCATTGATTGAATGTAACATCAGTTGCTCCCAATTGAGTTGTTCAATAACTTCGAGGTATTTTGTCATTCAAAAATTAATAGTAGTCGGAAATCTACCCATTTTATATCCAGTACCAACTGAATTGTTCTGTGCCCCACTTAACGATCGTATAGGTCTGCTATCCGACAGTTTACGAAGTTATACTCTGCGATTCGTGAATTCGCTAGCGTCCGCGGTCGCGTTGCGGTACCAGCCAATTGAGTGATTCACTGGCCGCGACGCGACCGCAGACGCTAGCGAATCGCGCGATTCGCAAAGTCTGACATCGGCCTTAGGGTGTTTCCTTGGTTTACTTTTCATCTCTGCATTGCTCATAAGCTTTACCTTAAAGGCACGAGTCAGGATTGAATTGATGCGTTATTTTTGTTTGAACATTAGGCAAGGGGTGCAATGAGGAACATTAGTGAGGAGAAAAAGCAAAAAGCACCATAGAAAACACTAAATTTCCCTTAGGAGGCCGGCCGTAGTACGACGGAGAGACACAGCGCTGCGAGGAGAGGGAGAACGCGAGATAGTACGTCGTACGCGAGAGGGCGCAGAGACCACGTATGCCGTGGTTGATAAGGATGGCAGCACGGCAGCACACAAGGCAAGGCCTTAGCGCCGTTGCCTCGCACTTTTGAGTCGCGACAGTGTCGTGCCTCCTGCCCTTGGAGACCCCTCTTCTCACTCTAGAAGGGACTGGCTCTTGGGACCTAATCCCGACTCGTGGCTTTAATTACTACTGGGCTGTTTTCTTCTGGCTGATTGTCTTTGGGGACAATCTATAGTGTAGCGGGATTGTAGTTTTATCCTGACCTACCCTCCTCTGCTGTATCTTGTACCAATTTATCGATCCGAGAGTGATGGAATGTTTCCATGGCGTATGTGAAACTGGATCTGGGACTTAAGTCTCGGGCTGTGTGAGTGCGTGGTAAGCTGCGCCTCTTGCCGCTGTGCCATTCTCCTCCTAAAATCGTTTACTTAGCATGTGGTGCTAGGATTAACGTGGATAATGATACTAGTGATATTCAGCTAAATGTTGCCCTGTATGCTCCAAACGGTATCGCTTGAAAGTTGCTAGTCGGGGATGTTTCATTCTTCATCAACCGCGTTCATTGGAGGTCGCCTGGTGTTGTACTTACAAATAGTGCCTCGATATCACAAGGTGAGTTCTCTACAGCACCATTGAAGAGATTCCCACTTTAGGCTGCTCCAAGCAGAACTTTCGCAGAAGGTTGCTTCTGGGCAAAACTATAACAGTTAGGGGGTATGCTCATTCAAACCTAGGAGCAGGGAGGAATTTGTGGGAGAAGTTGTGGGAAGATTGAAAGCTGCTTCTGGACGCTCGTGTCCTTGGGAGGACATCCATTAAGTGAGCCAATTACTGAGCTTTGGAGCTTGGGACTAGCCCTAAGGAGGGAAGGGATCCTTGGGGAGCATGTGAGCAATTGCGTTCTCCCTGGCGTTTCTCTCCTATGCTGGGCTTAGTCCTAGTCTCACCTACCATCGGCCCTGTTTTTAATGTCCCCCTTCCCTCCTCAAGGACATGAAGGTCCCCTTCTCCCATCTAAGGCTTAGTTCTATCGAATCTCATAGCATCTCGTGACGCTACTGCATACATTAAACTTACCCTATTCAAAACCGGGCATACTCGACTTTGCGCCCTTCCTTCTAATATTGGTCGAGAAGTTTCCAGTCGAACTCAGAAGGAAGTGCAGTTGAGGAAACGAGTGGTCAAACCGAGAAACCAAGAATTCCGCTTGCCTCTGAGTCTGAAAGTCTAGGATGACCCTCTTTTTAAACACCCAAGCCATGTCTTCGAGCAGAAGGAAGCTTACGTCAGGATATGATGTTCTTTTAGTAGGTACAGGTTGGTGGGGAAGACCTAAGCCATCAGAGAAGAAGTGAATGGCATCCGGGCACAGAACAGACTGTCTAAGGGACTGCATTCTTCGTTGGGTACAGTCGATATCCGAGAGTTGGGGTAGGCGTGTCACCGGAAGTGACGTGCACTTGATAGAAGTGCGTGGATAAGCTGCTTCCAACATACATCGCTGGATATCAGCAAAGCATGCTGGCAACAGCTTATCCACGCAACTTCTATCAAGTGCACGTCACTTCCGGTGACACGCCTACCCCAACTCTCGGATGCGGACTATACACGGGTTCGTTAGAAGGCAAACTTGGGTCTAGGCTTGAAGTTGCTCTCAAACTTCAACCGACTCTTCAGCAAATCCTGTTCAAAATGAACATTTTCTCATACGATTCACGGCGTCGTAATCTTGGGGGAGGAGGAAAGACATTCAGGGCAGGGCTTTCAAGAACCGCTAATAGGTGATGCTAGGACTACTCCAAGAGAGGGGAGGAACACCAGGGAGAACGAAAGTTGCTGACATGCCCTAACAGAATTCCTTCCCCTCTCCAAAGCTTAGTCCCAGCACTGTGATGGCTCACTCGCTTGGATGTCCCCTTCCCCCCCCCCCCCCCCAACGACATGCGCGCCCGATTCACATTATGTTCATGAGCTGATAAATTGGTCATATGTGTGCAAGCAGTCTGAGGCCTTTCATGGTAAGAGTGAGCAAGCGAAATGAGTTTAATACTTATCGATTGCGCACAAGGCGAATAGGCAGGAGGTACATTATCGACTTGGTTAATTTCACTCTCAGAACTTTTCCCAATTATTGGACTTGAAACCCTGCAAGGTACGGGTCTCGCGGCTGGCACAGTCTGATCATCCTACCAGGGCAACTTCCTGTTTAAAAACCCAGAGGAGCTTGACTCATTTGTAATTTTTGGACAGGTGGTCATATTTGAAGATTTGGGGTAAGGTAGCCTTAGAGCTTGTACTTGCCGAACAGAATTGGAATATTCTGAAATGGGTAGGATTTGCTGTCTCACACGCTGTATGAAAATGGAGTGAATGGTGTCATTTCTTGAATTTTGGAGGGGAGTAGGGGTTGTGATCAAGTGGAGGCAGGTTCAACTGTTCGAGGAGGTGGAAGGGGATCGTATGAGAAACGTCCTCTATAGGGACGTCCCGAACCCATTATTCCTCCCAGGAGCAGTTGAACCGGGTTCCTACAGATTCCTATCCCAAAGCTGTCAATATTTTTTTATTACAGATTTGTATTCATAATGTGTTCATCGCCAGTGTCTACAGCTTCGTCCTTTGACGCTCAGTTTTTACAGGAGACTTTTGATAATGCCATAGAGGTAAGCAGATTTATTGCCCCGCTCTTTCCTTGGAAGCAACGGGCACCTTTTAGGAGACATGTCGCAGCTTCGGCCTTTTTTCACCTTTCCAAAACACGCAACAGCAAGATGGCCCTGGAGAAACTGGAGATGGTGCGTGCTTTGCTTTGTCATTTGAATGGGTACAAGAGAAGGGCTCTTAGCACATGGCCCAACTCTTTTGGGCTGGGGTCGACGACGCATAGTATTGCTGCCAAACGTGTTTTGAATACTGTTAATATACAGGGCGTAGCACAAAGGCTTCGTCAGTGATGTACAACGCAGAAAAATGTGACAAAAACGAATTGAGATCCAGGCATCGAAAACTTTTCACCAAGTTCTAATCAATTTCTGCAAAGAAAGCCTAGCAGCACGAGGCAGCAACTTCAATAAATAGACTGGCAAATGCATCGACTAGACGATCTCATTCCTTCCCGTCAACTCAACGGAAAATACAATCACGCAGTTTTGAATGCATTACTGCCACGATGCCCCCGTATTTCGCGATAGCGCCACGAAGGTTTCTATTTCTCACTTCTCATGCAGGGATTTGTAGTCAATATGAAATAGTAACTTAACTTCGCCAACTTCTGCGGTTCAATAAACTGGTCACAGGTGTGAGCCCCTTCGTCGCCGAAACATCTCCTGCACCAGACTCAATGGGCACTGCGCTAACAGCCGAACAGCCTGACGGTATGACCTACGAAGGAATCATCAGTAAGGACAGGGTGAAGAAATTTCCTAAATCATACTATCACGTTCAAGAAATGAACAAAGGACCAGGTGAGTTCCGAATAAACTTCTAAGAATAGTTTTACTCAATGTTGCTCTTCAGTTAAGCTTATCGAAGGATCACCACACTTGTAGAGAAACTACTAAGCTTCTTTCATTTCAGTGGACTACGCGCCTCGACTTGCTCAAGTTCCTTCTCAGTATCAACTGGAATCCCTTACGGAGATGTATGTGTGCGACTTCCCGAAGCTCTATCGGAGGTAGCGATTCTCATTATAGAAAAAGGTCGCTGACTTGTAACTCCAATACAAAAGGACAGAGCTCTTCAAACTGTATCGGAAGGCAAAGCATTTGCTACAGTATGATGGAGCGCTCAGTCCTTATCAACCCATTTCGGTTCTATCGAAGGTTCCGCAAAGCCATTCTGAATGCTATATGCCCGGGTTTCCCGACAGGAGGCCCGCCGCGAGAAGGCAGAGACGCAGGGTAAGCGGACGAGTCGCATTGCGTGCTGTGTGATGTGGGACGTATTACAGTCCATTCTATTACTTGGCCACGAAATAACTGCAGTGCACGCTGCGACTCGTCCGCTGACCTGTCTGCTACTCTGCCTTCTTGCCGCGCGACAGGCCTCCTGTTGTGTACCCCATTGTGCCCTATACAATGAGCCTCATGAGACTGGATTAGACTATGATTTATATCCCCTCAGGCAAGGAATATTAACTACGGAGCACCTGAGCAATGCAAACTTTGGTTGCAAACCCTGGGTTGAAGAATCTGGGACGGTAGTAAAGTGGCCTCAACTGCTAGTTACCATGTGACCATGAGCTCGTGGTAACTTGGTCATGGCTTCCATCCATGTCTCCCTAAAAGATGCGTAGAGCACCTCTGGAACCCCTCCGAAGATTCCCCGTCGGAATGGTC